CCGCCGCCTCCCCAGAGCCAGGCCAGGCCAGGCCGGCGCCGCCGCCACTTCCGCTTCCGTTCCCGGCCACCGGGCCACCGGAACCATCGTCGCTATTTCCGCTTCCGCCCTGCACCCGCTCAGGGAAAGTGGTGCAATTTCTGTCTGTATGCTGGGACGTTAAACTTCTGGGGTCATCGGCAAATGTCTAACTGTAGAAGAAGACGAAAACGCCGGGCGTGGTGGCTCTCGCCTGTGGGAGGCTGAGGAAGGCTGATCTGAGACTAGATATGGGGAGGAATGTGCAGGCAACCCCAACAATTCAGTACAGGGAGCCACCGGGACGTTTCTTGTCAACCTACTTTCACACCACTAACTATCCTAGTGTAGAGAGGAGAGACCACATTGCCTGATAAGCCTGACCTGTTCCCCCCAGACCTGCTCCTAAAAGCTGTCTCATTATCTTAGGGTCACCCACCCTATTTTTCCTGCCAAAACAGCAAGTACTAACTACATCATCCCTACTCTCCTTCCCTTCTTTCCTTCTCAGCATCTTTCTCTGGTCTCCATACTACAGTGCTCAAGAGGCCACAGGCCTCTTACAATCTCTTCTCAGCCAATGCAAAGAGGTTGACCTATGTGTGAATAGAGCATTTCCTGGCATTTAGGAAGGATTATGTTTGCTAGTGTCATTTTGTTATTTATTTGTTTGTTTGTTTGAGACACTGCTGTGCAGTTCAAGCTGGCCTTAAGCTCACTATGTAGCCTAGGCTGGCCTCGAAATCACAGAGATCTTCGACCTCAGCCTCCCAAGTGCTAGGATTACAGGCATGCACCACCACACCTGACCTTGTTATCTTTAACATTGTTATTACTTACTGTTGTTTATTTTAGGTCAAGTTCTGTGGGAAATAGACCAAGACAGGGATTTACCTACAGCAAATCTCCTGAGGATTCACACTTGTAAGGGAGTAAGACAAGCAGATCTGGGTCACTGCAGTTATAACAGGGGCCTCAGCCCATCCTATTAGCTCTGAAGTTGGTGGAATCCTTCTGAGGTATTCACATCCACACAAAGGTACAAGGCCTTTATATCCCAATACTAATACAGAACTCACAGAGTTGTGAGACCTCAGCAGCCTACACACCTGGCAACTGGGAAATGAGGGCCTTTGTCTGAAAGGGAGGATTTGAGTGGTGCTCCCTACAGGGTCCATTCTCTGGCTCCCTATCACTCAACATTAACACAACTATCATTATCCCTGTCAGGCCATCCCCACTACTGCCCCTCTACCCAACAGCCTATAGTCTTTCCTCTACAGAGGTACACTTCTCCTTCAAAAGCTCAGTGGCCCAGTTTTCATACTGCACTGTTGTCTGCATCCACCTCTCATACTTCACCCTTCGCCCCTGGTTGAGACCAAGCCTACTTCACTTGTGTGTGCTCAGCACTAAAAGGTTCTGGGTAGGTGATCAAGAATTGGTGATCATAGGGAGCATGTCCCTGCCCCCAACACTCCAGAAGTGGCGCCCAGCCCTCCCCACCTCAGTGCAGATGCTCTTTCCTGTTGGGAATAAAGCACCAAAGACTCAGCTTCCTTCCTTTCTGCCTAGGGGGAGGCGGGGCCTTGGAGAGAAGAAGGGGTTTCTGGGCTAGGAAGCGGGAGAGAGACTTCCTTGGGGAGAGGAATTCTGCTGCTGTGTGCCAGAGGAGCTGGAGTCATCCAGGCCCTGTGGGCAGTGGAGGGCGTTGGCAATTCTGCTAAGGGGAAAAGGCCATTGTCAAGGCCAAGGCTGCTAGCAGAGGAGGGAGGACAGGTTGCCTGGCTAAGTCTGGTAAGTTTTTTCCCCCAAAACTGTCCTGGACATTTCAGAGCAAAAACTGAGTCTTAGAGTTGCCAAATGAGGCCTGTTCGCACTCTGTTACTTAGCATAAACCAGAAACCCAACAGGTAAAAAGGCCTGCAGGTGCCTCCCCATTACACCCACCCTCTTCCATTTCCTGAGGGAGCTGGGCAAGCACCTCCTTCCTTTCTCAGAAGGGCCCAGGCAGAGGCAGCAGCCCAAGGGAACACCCATTCTGCCCTAACTCAAACTGCTGCCCCCACTCCCACCTCAGCTCCTGCTCCTCCAGGCCTATCATGGACTCAGCAGTCAAGGACAAAATGCAGCCCACACTTCCCTCTGGTATGAGCCCCACTGGGTGAGCTGAGGGAGGGATGATGGCAAGAAAGATGTGGACGGTGGAGTTGGGTCCTCCCTGCCAGGCTGGATGGAACACTATAGGACAATGAGGAGAAAACTGTCCTAGGGACAGGCTGAGGACTAGGAAAGGCAGTAGGGTCTATAGCTCCAGGCCATTTCTGACTGACAAAGCTTCCCAGGCTCCTTCTGCCCAGAGCCTGAGTGGCCTGAGCAGGAGAGGGCAGAGCAGCTGGCCAGAGGTGCAGCACTCAAGTGGGCCTCAGGCATCTTCTACCGCCCAGAGCAACTGGCCCGGCTGGGCCAGTACCGCAGCCGTGAGGTGCAGCGTACCTGCTTCCTGCAAGCACGCATCAAGGTAGGTATGAGATGGGGGCAGCAGTGCTGGGGTAGGCCGCAGGGCTGGCCAGGCCTCATTGGCTACATCTTTCCACAGTCCGTGGTGCAGTCGTACCTGGAAGATGTGCAAATTGGTGTGTGGCAGCTGTCCCAGGCCCTTGAGGCTGTGCAGGGAACCCGTGAGGCCCTGAGCCAGGCCCATGGGTTGATCCAGGGCGTGGCTCAGGCCTCAAAGACCCTAGAAGTCCTACGGGAGCAGGTTACCCAACACAAGCAACTACAGGCCCTGTCTCAGTTGCTGCCCCGGCTGCAGGCAGGTGAGTTTGCAGAACCCTGGGCCTCAGCTTTCAACCGTCAGTCCATAAACATTCATCACTGATCAAGGGGCCAGGGCACTAATAGGGGATTGCATGGAGGGACACACAGGATCCTAACAGGAATATGAAGCAGAATACAAAATCAACTCATCCTGGGGTTCTCAAGCACAGGACATTTTAATCAGGATGGACTCACTTCCTGTTGCTTTGGCTACCCTGGTTGTTAATATGTTGAAAGGGATAGGGGAAGGCAGGCATGGTGGCAAATGCACTTGGAAGGCTAAGGCAGGATGATTGCCATGAGTTCAAGGCCAGCCTGGGCTATGCAGTGAGTTCAAAGCCAGCCTGAACTACATAGTTAGACCCTGTCTCAAAAAAATAAAAACAAAAACAAATAAAATAAAATAGAAAGGGCTGGTGGTATAACTTAGTGATAGAGCAAGTGCTTAGCATGTGTGAGGCCCCAGCAGATTTCTCAAGCAAGGTGCGTGAACAGTCATTAGCATAGCCCCCAGTTTTTCTTTACCTTCTCTCCAATATTTTTGAGTTTCTTATGTTCCATTAGCTCAGTGATTGACATCTAGCCCACCCAATCTCTAGGACTTTGCCTGGATCCTTGCAGATTGGCCAATGCTTTACTCTTACGGTTACTACATGTTTTGTACATCACCCAGTCTCAGGGCCTCAGTATCCCTTACTGTACAGGTGGGAAGGCTGAGATCCAAGGCCATCTCCTTTCCTTCATTAGTGCCGGCTTCAGTGACCCACACAAAGATGCTGATCGATGCCCAACAACTCTTGGAGGCATATGTGAGCCTGCGGGAGCTGGAGCAGCTGCAAGAGGAGGCATGGGCATCCTTGGGGGGCCTGGAGTTGCCAGTCTTCCAGGGGCTGGGCCTTCTGGCTGAGGCATTGGGCCATGCTGTGGAGGCAGCTGCAGGGGCTGCAGGGCAGCTGGCACGGGAAGATCCAGCCCTGCTAGTGGCTGCTATTCGGGTAGCAGAGATGGAGGCTAATCGTACAACTCCACTAGGACAGGTCCCCCGAGACTGGCGGCAGCGCTGTCTGCAGGCACTACAAACAGGCCTCGAGCAGGTCTACTTTGGAACAACTGTGCTGCCTGAGCCAGGGGCCCTAGCAGAGTGGTTGAAGGCTCTGCAGATGGCCCTGCCTGCTGAGTTGGCCACAGCTGAGGCACTAGTAGCACCCTGCTGCCCACCACACTACAATGTGGTCCAGCTATGGTCCCACACCCTGCACAGCGGACTGCGCCGCAGCCTGCAGCAACTTCTTGCAGGACCTGAGCTGGGAGCTGCTGACGCCTTCAACTTGCTGCATTGGGCACTGCACGTGTACCTGGGGTCAGTGTCCTTGAGACAGTAAAAAGTGGGAGGATTGGAGGCTGGGGGCTCAGTGTGATGCTGGGCCACCTATCTCCAGGCAGGAAATGATGGGGAGCCTGGAGTTGGGGCCTGAGGCTGATGTGTCCCAGCTGGAGCCCCTCTTGACCTCAGAGAACATTGAGCAGCTGGAAGCAACATTTGTAGTCAAAGTCCAGGTGAGTACTGTATTTGGGCCACAGAGATGCTTTGTCCATTGGCTGTGGCCTTTATCTGTCAAATCCTATGTCTGCCTGTCTGGCAGGGCCAGTGCCCTTCTATATCCCATCCTCTGTCCCTTGCTTTTATTTTCTGGTACCCAGAATCGAACTCAGCACCTTGCACTTGCCAGGCAGGTGCGGCACCGAGCTAAATCCCCAATCCCATGTCCCTTGCTTTTGTCCCAGGAAAATGTGGCCCAGTGGCTACAGAAGGCACTAGATGGGGAAGTAGCTGAGTGGGGCCGGGAGCAAGAGCCCAACACAGACCCCTCTGGCTTCTACCACTCACCAATGCCAGCCATCGTACTGCAGGTGGGTGGGAAAGTGGCTAGGCAGGTGGGCAGTTCTCATAGGGAAGGGGGAAGATGACAGGACTATATAGGGGCTTTGCTGATAGTTTCCTATCCCTGCCTGTAGATTCTGGCCGAGAGCATTCATGTGACCAACATGGTCAGTGAGTCGCTGCAGAACCGAGTGTGTGGCATGGCACTATCAGAACTGGGCACATTCCTAAGGAGGTCTGCCAAGCATGCACCCACTCCCAACCCTCATCCCCACTCCCAGGGCAGTCCCAAGGGTCTTTGAATAAAACACACCAGTGGGAAATGGCTCCTCCTAACAAGTACTTGGAAGTGGGATGGGAGTGTGGGGACTGGGGCTGTGGAGGCGCCAAAGTAGCAACAAATCCAGGAGCCACTCTGCCCATTGCAGCTTCAGTGATGCTCTGATCCGATTCTCCCGAGACCACCTCAGTGGGGAAACTCTGGCCCCTCACTATGTGTCCTACCTCCTGGCTGCCTTCAACCACCAGTCAGCATTGAGGTACTAGACGCCCCCAGCAAAAGCTACCTTCACTCACCCCTGCTTCATTCCTACTACTTATGGTTACCCACATTAGGCCACTAGGAGCTCTGGGCCCATATTGCTCAGGGGTTTTAATCCTAGTTCTGGTAATTACTAGCTGTATGTCCTTGGGAGAGTTACCTATCTGAGTCTCATTTTTCTCATTAGTATTACGTGGGTAATAATGCATTGGTCTATGAGTCGCACAAGATAAATGGATATGAAGTGCACACAGTGGCAAGGGTTCATCCTGTCAGCAAATATTTATCAAGGCCTCTCTATGCCAGATAATGTCTGAGGTTACAGTTGTGAACAAAACAAAAAAATTCCCCTCCTCTTGGGTGCTATGCTGTTTCGGATGAAAACAGGAAGACAGGTTAATTTTGTGTGTGTGTGTGTGTGTGTGTACTGGGATCGAATTCAGGACCTTGCTCTTGCAAGGCAGGTGCAGTGCCGCACAGCTAAATCCCAGGACCAACAGGTTGATTTTTACTCCCTTCTTTTGCGGATGAAGAAACAGAAAGTGAAGGAATGACTGGTTCATGATCACAGTGTGAATTCAAGGCAGGTCCAGCCTGGCTGTGTCTCTCTTGTAGCTGCCAAACACATACCTCCTAGCTATGACAGATACCTTAAGTCTCAGAAGTGCAGGAAGCTGCCTTTCCTGCCCCTTCCCGTCATACACTTGGGCCACAAGGTGGCACCCTAGTGGCTGAACCTCAAAGGGCAGTGCAGGCCTTGGCCTTGGTCCTGAAGTCGTATTTCTGGTTGGTCCAGCGCCTCGGTGTCGGTCCTGCAGCTCGACCGAGTGGCTACTGGGGTCTTGGCTTCGGTAGAAGCAGGGCTGGACGAGTTGCAGAGGAGGATCTGCCGCCTGGTGCTGGAGACTCTGCAGGTGGAGCTCCAGGTGAGGCTTTTTTCCCGTCAAAATGTGGGTGGGAGATGGAGAAAAGGGGCGAGTCAGGGGATCTGTGGAGACTGCCAGATCTGAATCACTTCTCCAGCCTCGCCTCTCACTCACCCTTCCCAGCCCCTGTTCGCGGCTCTGCCCTCGCGCCAATGGCTGTCAAGCTCTGAGCTGCTAGACCGAGTGTGTGAGCGGACGTCGCGCTTCTGCCGGGACTTCTGGCGCGTGCGGAACCCCGCAGTTCAGGTGCGTTGGGCGGAAAGGCTGAGGAGGGTGGAGCGCGGATGGAAAAGGCGATCTAGACCTATCTCACCACGTTCCCTGCAGGTGCTGCTGGCCGAGGCAGAGCGCACCGTGGTGGTGCAGTACCTACATGCGTTGATGCAGGGCCGCCTCGTGTGCTGCAGCGAGGACGAGCGGATCCAGGCGGCCGAGCGCCTGGAGCACGATGCCGCCCAGTTTAAAGAGCTTTTCCTCAGTTTGGTGAGCGCTTGTTGGGCGGGCAAACGGTCGAATCTCTGTGGTGAGTGGGAGCCGAGAGCCGGCTCAAAATCTGACCCCAACCTGCCCAGGGCCTAGAGGAGAGCGCGCATTGCACTCCAGTTCTGCTCGCCGTGAGGGAACTGCTGAACCTCCGTGACCCCACGATGCTTGGTCTCGAGGTGGCAGGCCTGCAGCAACAATTTCCCGACGTGAGGTGCGGGGGGGCGTCGAAGGGGAGGGAGGAGGAGCCCGGGAGGGGAAGGGCGTGGCTGACGCACCTTGGTGGTGTCCCTGCAGCGAGGACCACGTCTCTGCCCTCTTGGACCTGCGCGGGGACGTGTCCCGAGAGCAGCGCCAGGCGGCACTCGGCTCGCTGC